AGATGGATGAATGGTAGTGTGTGTGTCCTGTCCATGTCTTGTAGATGAGACTCAGTGTTTTCGTTTTTTTTTTTTTTTTTTTTTTTTTTTTGGAGAATGCTCCGTGCAATTGCATTTCTGCAGCAGGGAATAGATGAGTCCTCTTGAATGTGCACTGCTTTGCTTTCTTCCCTAGGATTTACACTGTTTTACTTCACTTGGATATGTGCAGCATCCCTTCTCCTCTGTCTTGGAAGGGGCAATCTGCACAGTGCATTAGGGATTGGAGTTGACTAATACTGAATACATGAATGGGGTACAGTATTGTTTATTTATTTACATGTTTGTGTGTGTGTGTGTTGAATATAATATATACAGATATGTGAGTGCGAGTGTGTGTGAATATATACATATATATATATATATAGATGAATGAGTGCATGGACATGTAGGTATAGGACAAGGAGGGGGTGGGGAGAGGTGAATATAATGTAGTTTAAAATTATTGTGTGTAGTACAATAGAGAGTACTGGCTACAGTATCAAAGGCTGGGGTGCTATGCATAGGTGTTGGGCCTGGAGAAGATTTTTAAAAAAAGATGATAGAGTTTATCCATAGAACTCACCTACTACACCTCAGGATTTAGGGTCGCTTGCATTGCACACTGTATTTTAGATGACATTCATTTGAAAGATTTGGTTATGGATGTTTTGTAACAAAGCCAGATTAGAAAAGAAAATAAAAAAATCTCTTGCATTGTTTGTTTATCTATTCATATAAAAATGTATTCAATGCTGTGGGTTTGAGTAATTCCTCTCACAGTTTCTCATTCCACCCTAAAACTTGCAGCTTTCCACTTGGTTGACCCACAACCCTACCCTCTGGACTTTCTCAATTGAATTATTCATTGACAGACTTAAACTCGAATGTGGGGATGTGAATGGGTGAGAACATGCAAATTTGGAGGGGGTAAAATTGGATGATATGGACCTCTTGTGGTTGTTGCTGTTGTTGACCAATGCCAAATGGAACTCTTCATAGACGTGGATGGGTTGCTGCACAATTGCACCAGATCCCTCAGTGCTGCTGCACAGAGACATGTGTTCAGATCCCTGATGCCTTTTCTCCATTAAAAGATTAAAAATGGGCTTGTGTCTGGCACACTCAAAAGAAAAGCCCTGCACCCTGGACACATACTCCCCCTGTACAGCACTTAGGCACATGGACATAGAAGATGCAGGCAGTAGATGAAGACAGAAACAAAGAAGCAGAAGATGAAGAAGAATACCCCCTCCCCCCTTTTTTGAATACTTCAAAACTTCCAGTTCCTTTCAATGTCTCACAGAAGAACAATGAGCCTCACTGGCCTCTGGAATGACCTCCTTCATAGCACCTTGGAAGAGGAGAAGGAATGCTGTATTAGTGTGCTTCTGTTTTCACACACATTGCAATAATAAAAAGAAGCATTTTGATACAAATAGAAAAAATAAAATTGGGTGACTGTTTATGAAATTATTGTATCAATGTTGCTGCTTTTGATCAACTTGAGGATATAATTGGAATCCTAAGCAAGTAACTGTTGTCTAAGATATTTATTATTGAATCACTATCTTTTTAGAAACTGAAGACTAACTTGTAAAATGTATGTCATGGAATTATTCCTTGAATTACTGTATAAGCATTCTTTTGGTTTTTTAGTCAATACTGTTCTGTTTTGATTTCCCATGTGGTGGAATTTCAGCTGTTTTTTTTGTTTGCAACATTAGAAATAAAAAACTAAAAAAAGAAAAAAACTGTATATTTATGACTTGGTTCTTTGAAAATACAGCAACTATATTCAACATATTCAACACAACCCAACAGTTGCAATTTCTTTAGGAATCAAGAGGTATTATTATTCTAAGTGTTACTATTTGAAAATACTGATGTTTGATTTCTCCTAAGACACAATTTAAGAGTTATTGTATATTTATTTTTGATCAGTATTTTTGATCTGTATTAGTATTTTTTATCCCAATTTTTTTTCGATGTATTTTCTCACTGAAATAAATTCGTTGTTTAAATACCAGTTTAGCCTTCAATTCAATATTCGAATAGTCAACTAATCAAGTTCCAGCTGAAAAGAATAGATAAGTAACCAACTTGAAAATTTGTACAACACATGCAAACACAAATTCCAAAATTTCCAAAAATATATATTAAAATAAAGTTTAACGCGTATTCCTGAATGATTTTTCTCACGCAAATTTCAATTAAATAAATAATCATCTATACAACGATAGTCATTCAAACATTCATCCACAATGGTGGATGAATGGATGCACTCCGAATGCAGCTCCGGGTGGGAGAAAGCGCACGGGGCAATGGCGGGTGCAGATGCGGCGGCGACCCTTCGAGGAGCGCAACGAAGACGGCGAGGAAGAAGCCGGCGTGGATGCTCGGCGAAGCAGCAGCAGCAGCAGCAAGAGAGAGAGAGAGAGAGAGAGAGAGAGAGAGATCGGACTGACAAGGGAGTGAAGTGAGGTGAGGTGGGCAAGGGAGGATGGAGAGGGAGAGAGAGCGAGGGCGTTGTAGGGAGAGGAAGCAAGCATCTGAGTGAGTGAGTGAGTAAGTGAGTGATGCGCCGAGAAATATTCTGACCCAGCTCCGATGCCCCATTCTCCGCTATTCTTTTTGCTATTCCTCTACTCTCTCCACTGCGACATGCTGCTACATGACGGGCCACGTTGCACAGTGGAACTCACCACGTGGGCTTCACGGCGCTTGCGTGCGTCGCTGCGTTGAGGATCGGGCTTGTCTGCTCTATGTCGCATGCTCTTCCTTCCAATCGTCGCTGCTCCCTTCCCATCCCCTTCCCTCTCGGGTACCCATTTCCTCTTTCTCGCAGTTGCCTCGCAATTCTTCCGTTTCAAAGCTCGCTTGCTTGCTTGGAATCTCTGGAGCTTATCGGCTATCCTTGACACAGCATCCCTACCAACAATTCCAGGTGTGGATTCGACGTCCTGCCATGTAGGCAGATTCTGAGGTCACACTCAAGGTCGCAACTAGCTCGATTTTTGATGAAAGAGGGGGTGGCGTATGGACGCTGCATGTCGCAGGTGATGAGTTGTGTTTTGACTAGACACATCTTTATTTATAAGTTGGGGGATATTTGTTGTGTAGACAAATAGTGTGTCATGTTAAATTGAGTGTTAGTACGACCGTGCAGGGCCACTCTCTTTCAGTCTGTCAAGAATGGAAGTGTGCTGGGAAACGATGGAAGATTCAGTTGCACTTTCGTCACGCCATAGCGCAAGCGTGATCCAAACCCGAGAAGAAACTGTAGAGACCCTGTGGACGGTGCACCCCAAAAGTGCTCTCGGTTTTTTAGTACCCTGAAGCTCAACCAATATTTTTTTTTTTTCCCAAAGGAATAAATGTTCCAGATCCCTCCTTTTTTGAGATTTAACACCTGTCTCTATTCTCAAGGCTCCTCTGATGGCATGAGCACTTTCTCAATGGCAGTGTCGCATTTTGCTAGCACTTTTTGCAACCGAACCGCCACCGTTTTGATACCCCATCAACCACATCGTCCAGGGTGCAATGCTAAGATCATTCTTCAGTTAAAATATAAATCCCAGATCGCATAACTTGGACCAGTTTTTTGGCGTTTCGTTCATGGGCGACGAATCATTACCCGGCGCTACAACCGTGTTTACGAGGGCCTGTCCGTGGGTTTTGTTCAAATGTACTTTTAATGCGTTGGCGAAGACTACTAGATTTGTACACGGGACGCCTTTATCTCACAAAGTCGTCAGTACGAAACAGACGACACGGGGGAGCCCATCCGTGCAGTTGGCTGAACGAGGCATCAGTGAGTGGCACACGACACATGAATATTAATGAAGAAGTTGTGCTCGACACACGCTCAATCGATGTTAAATACATACCCTGTGTGTCGTCCAACATCAGTCTAGTGTGGATCTGAACACTCGCAGCTTGATGGTGATGGTGGTGCTGTAAAGCTCCGCAGATGGATCGGCGATCCTGAAGCAGCTCATTCGACAGGCTTCACCACAATATCGACTGCTTGTAAACTGATCGTTCCACATTTTCTGATGCAAACACAGAAACACGATGAAATATTGACGTTGTGAATCAGATTCACCGCATGTTACAACAGAATTTTCATCTCATCACGTTTTTTTTTTGCAGTGCGACGTGATCGATGGTCGTCTGAGCCGGATGGTGAGGAGTTTGATGATATGTTGTTATTATTTCTTTAACTGGTGAAATTTTCAGTGATAGTAAAAGGAAGTGAACATCACTACAATCATGACTATTGATATCGTTGATTTTCTTCTCGATGTGACTGTGTATCATGCAACTATTGTGATATTTCTATTTAATTTTAATTTTATAGTTAATGTCAAGTGGATAAGCTGGTTTGAACTTGATTTTGTTGGGAATCGGCAATATTCCAACACTAATTCATTGCATTGAGTGGAGCTTTTTGTCATGTCCATACTGAATGACACAGTGAACAAACATAAATATTATGCCACTTGTGTAGTTTATCAAATGACAAACAAATGAGAGACATTCATGCATCTTGTGAATGAAGAGTGAAGGATTGGGCAAGTTCGCATTAAATTGGCTTCAACTTTAAGACAATTAGCTTCAAGATTGGTTCAATATGTATGTATATATCTATATGTATATATATACATAATCATCCAAAATTATCTGGTTCTTATTTTGAAGTTGCTTAAATGATATCTTGTATCGATACAAAATGATCCCAGAGCATGCTTTAAGAAAATCAATGTATACTGTTGGTATTTTTATTTTACATGACTAATTTAGATTTGTTGTCATGTTAGCTACTTATAAAATTAAATCATTTAAGATGTAAAAAAAATTGTTCCTCTTAGTTGTAGATTTTCAAAATACAAAACTGATCTAATATCATTACGTTTTGTTACATCTTTGAAATCTTGTTATGATTTTTTTGTTGAAGCTTAATTAAAAAATGTGTTGTAAGAGTTACTCACAAGACATGTGTCAATTTCAACGGACACATGAACGAATGACAGATAGACATATATATAATAGTTTTTAAATGTTACAAAAATGAAAAGCCATGCTCCCAGAACTCAATGGACTTATAACAAATATGCATGAAATTTACATGGAGGTTGTTAAATATATACTTTAGAAAGAGTGGACAAAAGAAAAGAAAAGTAGCAATATACACGTTTGTGGTTGTGCTAAACAAGGATTTTTGGCAAAGTCATAGATTGTGATATATACATATATATATATATATATATATATAGATGTCATATACAGTCATATATATTTATTTATATATTTATATCTAGTCGTATCTCTCTCTATATATATAAGTGGTTAATTCTTCTATACATTTTTGTTTCAAGGCAGGGAAAAATACAGTAATCCATCGATAACAATCTATTGTAATCCTTTATTGAGATTTCAAAATAAAACAGTATGTAAAATTTATTTCTTCTATGTTAGATCTTAAATGTTGTAATTAGAAAAATTAAAAGACTATATAGTACCTGTAATAGGTATTTTATAAGAATAATCATATGCTATCCATACTCAAAAAAAATCAATAATAAAAATTAAGTACACAAATAATTTTGATGAATTGAATAAATGAAGAAATCTAAAGATAATTTTATATTGAAAAATTAGATAGATTTATATTTAAATTTTAATTTAAACAATGATTTTTTAATGAATTTTTTAAAATACCTATTGAATTAAAGTAATAATAAAATACACTAGTGAATGTTATCAAATATAATATTTAGAATTTGGTGCAAATAAATAAATACAATAAATTTAACCAAGCATCTTAAATAATTAATATCTATTATAATTTTATTATAATCTAATTTTATAACACTATAATTTTTTTCGAATATTATAAATTATTTAATAGTACTTATATTAAGAATAATAAAATGAGGATAAATATATTTTGAAGATTAAATAATATATATATATATATATATATAAAGAGAGAGAGAGAGAGAGAGAGAGAGAGAGAGATGTATATTCATTCTACATCTTATAAAAAAATATTAGTAAAATTATCAGTATTTTAATGTAAACTCTATCATCTTTTAAGTAATAGTATTGGCTAATATATTAAAAATATTTTGAAGTAGATAGGATTTTTAAAAAAAATTATTATAAATGATTTTCATTATGAATAAATTATGACTATGAAAATAAAATATGTTATATATAAAAAAATTCGTTAATATTTTTATTTTTAATTCAAGTATTCTTATATATATATATATATATATATTTAAATATTATAATCAATTATGTTGATATATTATTTTTAATAATGTAAGAAATTGATATAGTTGTGATATGCTAAATAATATATGACATAAGTTTTGTCTAATAAAGAATATTAAGCATAATATATGATAAAAATGAATTTAAGTCTAATAAATCAAATTAGAAAAAAATAAGGTTTATTTTTTCTTTAATAAAGATGTGCAATAGTTTTTTGAAGAAAATAATATTTTTTGGTAAAGGAATATCTCTTTTATTGAGAAATATATTAGACTTGATTATTTTTCATCTTAGTAGTAATTCATCAAGGAAAAGTTGCCATTAATGCAAGATGTGGTAGAAAAAATACAACTAATAATGCCAAAAAATAGGCTATGATGAGAAAGACAAGAACTAAGCAGAATCCATGTTTGATAAAAATGACTTGTTTGAATTATTTTTCAATGAAAATTATAATATAAATTCAATTGTTATTGCTTTAATCAATAATTTTTGCTTGTTTGTGAATTGTTGAATAAATACATTATTATATGGTGTTTTTAATTGAATCTAATGAGATTGGACCAAATCTACAAAATTAGTAATTGATGTCTATAGAAAGCTCATGAGAAGACATAGAAAAATTTAGGATGCATCTTAAGAGTTTTTTTCACGACCACATAATATCACTACAATATTATTTAAACTAACAAGATATACAACAACATTGCTACAAGAGGTTTTTTTTTTTTTTTTTTTTTTTTTTTTTTCTTTTCTTCATCATAAAGAGATGCTTCTAGCTTATTAATTATTCCATAGATGCCACAACTTATAAAGGATAAACCACTTCCATTGGCAAAAAAATTCACAAATAAAACATAGTCTTTTATAATGTACATAGTACAAGAAAAAAAGTTAAATTTAAGGTTTTAGTTAGTATTGATATAAATTTTCATATTATCTATGAATTTTTAAAAGCATTGGTATTATTGTTTCACAATATCAGTGTGAGCTTAAAGTGTAATGAAAATTTTCAACACAACATCAAAATAAAGTGCAATTGCTTAAATCATCAACAAATGTAGATATAGCATATTTTTTTTCATCAAAACATATTAGATGTTGCCAAGACTTCCGTTTTTGTTAAAAATCCTTGAATAGATTCAAATATATTTGGTGTTCTATTGCTTGATGAACTCATTTCTTAATCCTTCTAATTAAAGCATATTATATAAAATATATTTATCATGTTATTAGACAATGATATGTCATTATATAAGCCATTAAAGAAAAGAATGGCCAATAAGTGGAACAACAATACTTTATTGTCATTTGTTTTAAGTAGATAAGAAATGTGAGTGTTTTCATAGGAATTTCTAAAATCATTGGTAGAAATATTGGCGACAATTAAAAATGTCCAACCTACATTTATTATGTCAAAGATGAGTTAGAATGATATTGCATAAATAATATGACATGTATTTGAAGCTTCTTTTAGTAACAACATCTTATTTTGGCAATAGTACCAAGATAAACACAATACACGCTAATTACATAAGAACTTTGATGAAATGATAAGTCACATATTAGAAGGCAAGCAACATAGTTAAGATGAATTGTATTCTAAACACTTATCTTGTACAAAATCATGGTTTGGATAATATTAATTTGCTCTTTGCAAACAAGAACAAATGTTCTCATTACAATATCTTCAATAATCACTTTTTAGTTGAAAAATAGTATAATTTAAACAATTACTTTAATGAATGATTTCAAGATTGTTAATCAATGCTTTCAACTAGCATCAATATGTTGTTTAAAATAAACATCTACTACATTCTATGAAAAAGAATGTTGAAAATATATATTTATTTTTATTTATTTTTATTTTTATGCTATTGAACATTATTGTACTGTTTGAACTTCAAAAGGTATTTCTTTGTTTTGTGCTTGTGGATATTATTTAGATAAAAACCATCAATAAATGTTGAAAAATTTGTTGTTCTTTCTTGTTTTTGTATTCACTTTCTATCAACCATTTTTTTTTTTTTTTTTTTTTTCAATTAGATGATTTACAAAAATGACAAATGTGTATTCTATAATTGATGCAACTTCATGTAATACTATAATTAATGCAATTTTAGAAAGTGACTTAAAGGCCAAAAAATCTAAATACAAATTTTGATACAAGAAGACATATTTAGGACTTAAGATTCTAGGTTTAAGAGATATTTTATTGGTGTAAGAAATTGTGAGTCCTAATAACAGATCTTAATTGAAAAAACTATTAAAAATATACTTTTAAATTATTTAAATATAAAAATATTGAAATTAGGGAGTCTTTTTGATCATTTCAATATTTATTAGGATTAGAATATTTATAAGATATAAGAATATTATTAGAAAAAAATTATAAAAATAAAATTTTAGTAAGTCTTGGAGGTAATTATCTTAGTTGGTTTAGTATTTTTACTTATTTCTCAGTATTTATGATTAGTTATTGAAAGAAATATTTACATTTGCCTTCTATTTATATTTATTATTTATAAAAATAATCATAAATTTTATTTAATGGATAAAAGAAGCATGAAAAAGAACTTCATATTTTTTTAATTATTTATAATAAAAATATTTCTTCTCATTTAAATTTATTTTATTATTATAAAAAATCACAAAGTTAACTTTGTTAATATGTTTTAAATTGATATTAATATTGTAAAAATATTATTTAAATTTTTAAAAATTATTTAGGAATATTTAGAGAAAATTTAAGACTTTAATAAAATTGAGTTTTACTACCTCGGGGGCTATAATAAAGAAATGGAGCAAGATTTAAAGACCATGTAAGATTTACAAGCTAATTGGATATTTTTTAATACAATAGCAAAGTCAAAAACATTTTAAAAGTAGTTATACTAGTAAAATATAGGAGGACTAGCAGCTAGTCTAGTCCTTATAGGACGGAAGGTGCACAAGTCTCATATGGGTTGTAGCACCTTGATTATAGTTATAAGGGTAAGACTAAGGCCTCGTGGCTTCTTTTAGATACTACATATATATATATATATATATATATATAATGGATGTAAATCTTGATGAGGCTCAAACCTTTGATCTATAAACAACTTATTCTTGAGATAAAATATTTTCACTTTTCTTTTCAAATATTTACTTGCAATCTTTGAACCTTCATAACTTTTTCATGGTAATTTGGATTTAGATGCTTCTTACATCATTGAAAAGATAATAAAATAATATATCTCTAAAAAAATATAATTTATTTTTTTACTTTTATTTTTTTATTAGAAAATAACTTAATGAACAAACTATGACTAAGTTCTAAAGTGTATTATTACTTGACTATATTTAGTTCAATTGTTTTATGTTTGTTCTTCTTTTTATCTCATTATTTTCTTTCTTTACTTTACACCACAAATTAAAAGTAACTCTTAATTAAAGAATAAATTTTATATTTATAAATATATTTCTATATTTAATATTCTTATAATATAAATATTTATTAATAATATAAATACTTCTTAATTTATAGATTTAAAATATATATAATATTTTTTGTTTTTTTTATTTTTTTAAATACTTAATATTGATTAATTATAAATAATACTTATTATATTATATTTATATAAAAATAAATTTAATAAGTATTTAGATTTTTTTAATTTTTGTTTTTACATTAAATTATTTAAATATTTTTTAAATATGTAAATAAAATCTAATTATTTTTAACTATTTTACCAAAAAACTATAAAATTTAGACAAAACATTAATACAAGAACAATTAGATACAAAATAAGAATCAAAAGAAAAGATAGAAGAATAAGATAATATTTAGATTTTTCTAAAACTTACACTTTTACACTAAAGTGCTTTTTTGTCTTATCTTCTTATTTTTAATTTAAAATCTAGGTTTTGTAGAAGGTTTTAGAAGAGATGTTGACAACAATAAAATGCCTTGAGAATATAAATAATCACTTATAGAAACTTCTAGAAGTGTCAATAAATTTAAGAAGATTATAGAAGACTATTAAAGGTTCTTAAAAACTTCTTAACAATAATAGAAAACTACCTAATCTTTTTGAAGATTCTAGAAGATGTCAATAATTTCTTATGATTTTCAAAAGTAATGAAAATATTTGAATTATTGTTGAAAGTTTTGAAATGTTCTAAAAAATGATTATATTTGTAGTTTGTAATATGGTTATTATAATTTTAAAAATAAAATTATTATTTCTAATGATCTTTTGATATTTAATTGCATTAGTTCAATATAATTTATTATTTATTCTAATCTCATATATTTATTTTATTTGATTTATTATTCTTAAATTTTACTTGAAATGATATTAACATTTATTTTTTATTATAGTTTACTAATTTTTTTGAATAAAACATATATATATATATATATATATATATATATATGTATTATCAAATACTTTTAATCTAAAAAAATTAATCTTTAATTTTTTAAAATAAACTATATATAAAACATAGTTATAATTTTAAAAGTTTTGACTCTTTGAATAAAATATAAAGAACTGAAATTATTAATTTACATACTTGAGTCACTTGTAACATTAAATACAGAAATACACTTAAATTTTTTTAGTTTTATAAAAATATTTAAGTTAGAATATATCAATAACAATATATGCTTAAATTTCTCAATTACAAAATTATAGAAAATTTAGTGTGTTATTTTAGTTTAAAAAGTGTCAAAGAATTTGACATAGTTTTTAATTTATAACAAGTTTAGTTTTAAATTCCAATATTTAATTAGTGATATTTGAAGTTTTTTTATATTGTATCTTAATAATTTTATAACGTCTATATTTAGAAAATTAAATATCTACTTTATTAAATCAAAGTAAGATATGAAGGCATGATTAGATTATTTAGTTAATCTATTATTTTTATAAACTATACAGAATACATGTTAATAGAATAAGATCATATATGTATTAAGTTTGATATTATGAAAAAAATCCAAACATAGATTTTAATGATTCTATAATATCTATTATTTGACTTTGTTTTATATAACTAGCTACTAACAATGTTTTTAATTTTATTTTTTTATGTCAAGGAATAAATATTTTAAATATTATTTAAAATTTAAATATAATTATAACTACATGCTTAAAATATTATTACTATCATTATAAAATCTCTTTACTGCTTGCATGATCTGTAGTTGAATATATTTTTTGCAATAATTTTTTGTAATAAATAATGATATTATTTCTCTAATAACTAATAAAAATATTTTTTTAATGATTTTTTAACTTCAAATATTATATGCTGTTACAAATCAATACATTATTCTAAACTTAAATCAATACATTATTCTAAAATTTAATTTATAACAAGTTCAGAATAATGTATAAAATTAAAAATCAATACATTATCCTAAAGCTTATTTTTTAAAAAACATAAATGAAGACTAAGATTAGTGTGTTTTTATTTAACAATACTTCTTGAAATATAATTGAAATAAAATTTTCACTTTTTAACACATAACTTAGTTGATGAAAAAAATATGAGAAACAAGGAAACTGGGATTCTCACACTCTCACCCACATCACTAAATTCTCAACTGTCCATGCTAATTCTCACCTCTCCTTGCTTCTATTCTAGAGGAAGGTCATTGCAAAGTATTGATATGTATCACACATTTACTCATTCATATATCCATGTAAGGATTTCTCTCTATGTATATATAAAGGGGACTGTTAAATAGACTCAAGTTTTTACTAAATTGACCCACCCATCCAAACCATCGTAAAAAAAATAAGTGATGTCTAGATTCATTTCTCTACTATTGAATCTGCGACCAATAAAAACCAATCACATTCATCGTCATTACCATATTCTTCAAAGTAAAAGCACGGGTCTATTTAACATTCCTCTATATAACAATGTTTTTTTTTGGGAGGGGAGGAGGTGGGATTTGAAATGGGGTTTAAACTTGGGTCTTGGGATCTCCGCCTGGTAAGGAGCAAAAGGGGACCGTGCTGAGCTGCGGGGGCAGTGTGAGCTACATACACACACAGTAACTTCTGTGGTGCCGGAGCTTCACAGCCATGGCCTCACGATTCGGCTTTCTCCTCCCTCCACGTCCCATTTCCTCCTCCACGTTTTCCTCCATTGCTCTACTACTCCTTCTCATTAGGTTTGTTAGCTCTCTCTTCCTCCCTCTCTCTCTGTGTGTGTGGTGGGTTGTTAGGGCATTGGGGAGGGCGATGAGTGGATTTTGAGTGTGCATTGTTTGGTTTGCGGCGGATTGGGGGTTGAATTGAGTAGTCGGTGATGCGATTTTTCTTCCTTCTGGGGGCAGAGAACGTGTAGGCTGGTACGCCTTCAAGTGGGTATGAATGCGAAATTGCTGTTGATCATGGGATGTCAATTGGGAAGGGTTTAAGAAATTTAGGCTTTAGTGGAAGATTGAGTGTGGGGAGGTGAGGGTTGAGGCCAAGCAGATGTGGGTATGGAGTTGCTAGCACTTAGAGGAGCCCACCTAGTTAGGGATCCTCGTCCTGTGCGCGACGAGCCCCCAGTTTATTCTGCACACGACCACCACAACGGTTGTAACTTATTCGCGAACAGGGTTTCGCTGGTGGGCAGACGACGAAGAGGTGGTAGCAGTAGAGGTTCTAGAAAGATATTTGAAGCGAGAGGATACAGCGTGCAGGATGGCTACAATTCCGCCCCGGAGACTGCACATTCAAGCGGAAACAGGTGAGTAATTCCTCGATTATTGTCCACATGAGAGGTCTGATGGTATCTCGCAGGATTTAGCATTGAGAGTTGGACCGCGTACGATTGTTCCGAATTCGGATCGGGATTCTTGAAGTTCATGGCCTTGCTTCATAAGTGGAAACTTTTGAAGTCAAATGATCCATCGCTCTTTCCCAACGCAAGCAACACCGGGAATGTGTTGGTGCTGACCCAGCTTGAAGTACTTTAAACCTTAGTTACCTTTATTCCACAACATGTGAGCTGGGGAGAAGGTCTGTTCTATGAGTACGATGGAGGGGAGGACGTTTGACACCATGATGAGGCAAAAACGGTGGTTTAATGTAGTTCTCTCCGTATTTGGTTCACAGGGGAAACACAATTATTCGCAGGGATGTTAGCAGGCTGGCAATGGAAGACGACTTTGTATCTAAGGAAACCTTGCAGCCGAGGGACAGGTTCACAGCCCCCGGACAGACAGGAGGGGTAAATGTTCTGTCAATGGTGCCACTGATTGTGCATGTGTATGGTGTGAAATATTTAGATTTCGGTTGAGTATTCATTCCATTCATTACGTGGACAGTGTTGTTTCGTTTATGTTTTTTTCATTATTGTGCTTACATTATGTCCTACAGAATAATTTCTGAATGAAGTATCCCCTTCTTAGCTTCAATGCAATGAGAAACTGAAGTAGAATGCAGAGCAGTGATGGTATAGAATAAGCTGAAATGCCACCGTTCTTCCAGGAAGGGATATTGAGATACTCCAGGACAAGCTATGACGGAGACGACTACGCACGTACAAAGTTAAGGCTCTCTCAACAGAAGCCCATTGAAAATGTGCGCTCAGGAGTGCCTTCCACACTCACAAATATAGTAAGCAACAGTGCACAACGGAATCCTCTCGGAATTCACTGCTTATTGTTAATGTCTGGTGGGATACCCTACAAATGTAGTGCTTTGCTTGAGGCTGAGTAGCTGGACTATCCTATTTCATGTTCAGTTTTGGTATTACAACGCAGAGGACATAAGTAATTCCCTATTTGTTATAAGTATGGCGTTTCAGAACAGGTCAGGGCGAATGGGTTTTCAGGAGGGTTCTTGTTTGCACAGGCACACATAGCGTTCCCCCTGTTGTTGATAGCGCCAGTCATAGGATTCATTGCACGCTGCGTGGTTGACTACATCCATACCCAGATTGAGAACGAGGTGGGCAAACGGTTTGCAGAGATGGAGTCATGGCAAGCTCTTCAACGGCCTCGAGTAAAACGGTGGCAGACCATTCTGGACGAAGATCGCGATGAAAACGAGTTAGAGCTTCTGACTACAACAATATCAAATTATCAATATCAAGCAAGTTGGCCCGTCTTATCCTCATATTTTCCTGATATACTTTGTGGCTCTTGAGCATAAATATATGCAATTTTATATTAGTTCAAGATTTTCTTCCAAGTACACATGCGAATGGAACAGCTGCAATGACGTGCATGTTATACATTTATCTTCATTATCTTCCCAAAAGCATGTCCAACCTAGTTACTCTTTCGATATATCTCAGGATAAATCGTACCGCTTTTGAGTTTTTAGGATGCTTCTTCGGTTCTCCATATCTCTTTTTGTTTTGGATATGGTTTTCTGAAATGGCCCGTCTGTACTGCAGAGTGATCCCTGGACATCCAATAGCTACCAACCAACTACTTCAAGGGATGATAGTGAGGTCAGTCTTTTATTTCAGCCTGTATTTTGAAGATTCTCATCTGACTTAGTGGTGGTCCCTAGTTCTCTCTGGTTTCGTACCTCATATATGTTCAGACTCTGATTAACAACGCGAGGTTCAAGATTTCGTATCATGATGAAAATTGTGAATGATCTCATGCAGACCAATGGAAGGTATCAAATTCCACCAGGAAAAGAAACCGAGGAAGAAAGGAAGCTGAGACAAAAGTATGACTACGAGGAGATAAAAAGGTCTTACACAAAGCTTGAGCCAATGTACGAGAAATTTTTGGCCGACAGCGGGTTAACTGGGTCAGGCTATTGGCGTGGTGCAGGTGAGAGCTAGTGTGAATACTTTGTAAGTGTAGAGCATCATATGCGGGAAATTAAATAAAGAATGCCGCACTAGTGACGTGTTTACACTTAAGTTTTGCTAGATTTTGTCCCTCACAGATAATAATGGTACTCGTTAATCCCTTCTTATAGTTTTGTCAGGTGGTTACAGCTTGTAGCTTGTGGCACTACGCGTCGAGCTAGTCTTTGACAGCTAAATGTAATTGTTGACGTCAAGAATACCACAGGTCCAGTTTTTCTGTTGTCCCCATTTTATACTGCTCCATTAGGAAACCCACCAAAGGACTAACCTTGGCCCTCGTATTATTGAACAATGGAAGCAGATCAAGTTTCTCAAGTTTTTGATCATTTTAAGCTACCCACAATTTGTGCTGAGGCTAATTCCAGGAATCCATGTTGAGGGTAGTTAAATATAATATATGTTCTATTGTTATATCACATTAGAGGAGATACTCTCGTTATTTTTTTTTGGCACCGAAACATCCGCCCTCTGCTCAGGATGATGATAATTTGCCAACGAATGATAATTTATGATAATTTTTGACTGATCTCAGTAGTTAGCAACAAAAAATGCATTTATGGTCTAAAACCGCGAAGATTTTTCATCACCAAGCGGTAGAATTATCATATATGATTAGAAATGATAATGTTGAATTAAGTTAAGTCCTCCAATGATATTTTCAAACATATATTTTTCAATTAAAAAGTTTATACAAAGGTCGATTAATAACTGGGCATATAAATACAACTTAGAACCATTTTTTTAATGTCTTTGTGAAAATATCAATCAAAACTAAATATAATATGTACAAATAAAACATTTTAATTAGAATATATTCAGCTACCACCTTGACAACAAAAACAATGAAACTAGAATTCGAATGCAAATCTTTAATTAATATCTTATTGCTTGTATAACTCTTGCACACTTAAAAATTATAAAAAGAAATTTAAAACCTAAAATTATTATAATTCAAAACTACAAAAAATAACTTAAAATTTAGAAATATTAAATAAAATAGTAAATGCATAAACTTAAAAATTGTATACAACTAAAATGAAAAATTATAATATTATATATAATTTCAAAAAATAAGAAGTCAGAATTTAGTAATAAAAAATAAAATTATAATCAATATAACAAAAACAATTCAATAATTATTAGTATTTTAAAAGTATTAAACCCTTTAGTTGTCAAAGAGAAAAAAACATATATATATATATATATATATATATATATATAGTTTTTAAAATCATTCAAAGATCAAATATTATCAACTATAAGTTCCTTTTCATCTATTTATAGTACATATGAACACACACAGTGTTAAATTTTTGATAAAATGTATGCTATGATACATATTTTAGCTGCAAGTTGATTTGAAACTCTTATGTGCATTAAAAAAAAAAAAAATTGCAATAATCTTTATTTCATTTATCTTAGAATTAAATTTATAGATTTTTAGTACTTAGCAATATTTACTTGCAAAGGCCATATATAAGAGACTATGATTTATGAATTAATTAGATTACATCTCAAAATTTCTTAGTTGTAGGTTTTTTGAAATAAAAAAAAGACTTATTAGACTTGCTTTGAATTTTTTATCTTACCATTTAACTGATGTTTTAGTATTATAAATATATATCTTTAAAAAGTTCAATATATTCCAATTTAAATATTATTTTCATATAATCATAAAATAAGACTTATTTTTATATTTAAATAGCCAAGGACCTCAAATTAAAAAATTCAATAATATATCAAAATCCAACTTTGTCATCATTACTAAAAAAGAGGTTTTTTTTACTTGTAACTTAAACTATAATTTAATCAAGATCTAGGATATTTTAAAGCTAAGCGTGCTTAAAATAAATCAAATTTTAACCTTATTTTTTATAATTAATAATTATACCTTTTGGTTGCAAATTTTGCAAACTAATGCCAAGGACTAATATTAATTATATAGATTAGGCCCTAAGCAAAAATACGTAATATCAATTGATTTTGTTGATATTAAAATTTAATTTCTTTTATGAACATATTCAACCATGAAATTATTTGTTATATTCAACTAAGTATATATTTAAAAAAATATAAATGTGATATTAAAAGATCTATTAGATTTTAGAACAACTCTTAAATTTTTTTATTTTGTTAGTAGAAAATAAGTTTTAGAATTAAAATTTCAATAAGGAATTTTTAATTTTTATTTTAGTTCATATATATATATATATATATATATATATATATATATATATATATATATATATATATATATATATATATATGTATTTTATAACTAGAAGAAAATCAAGATAAGGTTGCATACTTTGTAAATAGTATTACTTGTTAAGAATAAAATAAATTCTTATATATTTTAGTATAATCAAATTAAAATTTAGATTTTTATTATATTAAAAATTATTTCATAAAATTATTGCCATATTAAAGAATTTGGCATTACTTGTATTATTAATGTAATAAAAATTTATCATAGTAATATGAATTTTAAAAGACGTAAAAACAAAAATAAATAATAATTTAAATCTTTGAGTTTGCATTAATTAGAACATCTCAAAGCTTTATTAAAATAATATAAGGAGTTAAAAATTAAATTTATAAAAAAAATTGAAGATGTAATACTATACTCTTATATTTTTATAAGTTGCTATTATCATTACAATTAAATTTATAATATGCAGTAAGTAACAAGGCCTTACTACAATTTACTTCTTTAAACTTGTGAGCCAGAATATTATTATGCTTTCATAAAAGTAAATTCTAGCACAATAAATATTAATTGATAACTACAATTGTTTTTAGCTATTGCTATTTTTTAAAATAAAATTAGTATCGTTATTAAAAAATACTAAACTACCATAGATACATTTTGGGTGGTGATTCCACTATATTGAATTAGGTCATATAAAGTGATTGCACTATCTGAATCTCATTTTATTGAACATAGTCCTACATATAGACTTAGACAAACTAACTTATAATTTTAGACATATTTAGTCATATATTATTTTATGTAATTATATTAAATTTATTTAATAAATATTTTATTTCTATTTTTATTTAATAAACATAAATTTATAAAATAATAATCATTTAGCATAATAAGTTAAAAATCACACATCTTCATGTATCTATTTGATTTTACATTATTAATATTATATCTATTTACTCATGTTTGTATGCTATGTAATTATTTGCAGAGATTTATTATTTTGGAAACTAATTTATGCATATGACCAACCTTTTTCTTATTTTAAAAAGCCATAATTAATATTAATAGCTCTACATTGATAAAAAAATCTATATAAAAGAAAGTGAGAGCAGGTTGTCTCCACTATCCTACCTCTACCTCATTATTAGAGAGATTTTTAATTACAGTTTTAAATTTTTTCTATATTCCTTGAAGGCAATAAATCCAAAATTGTTACTAATTTAGCTGCAATTTCTAGCTTTTTATGTGTTAGAAGATTTAAAATAAATCAGAAACTTTTTAATATCATATGCCGTGCCAAAGCCATCAAGCTTCTATAGACCTCTAAATACTCCTAAAAATGGGTTATTTATGGAGATATTATAAAGATCCTTTTCACTTTCTTTAGAGTTGATATCAAAATCTTAAAAAACAAAATTCTTATTATGAATATCCAAAAAAAATTGAAATATTAATACTCTACATGCATAAATCTTATAAAAGTAATACTTATTGAGAATTACATCATTATCTATTATCTACTTTACTATGGTTTGGAACAAATTTTTCAAAGTATTCTATTTTATTTCTATACATGCAAATATATTTTTATAGATAAAAAAAGAAGACAAAGTAAAAGATACAAAATTCCTAAGAAATTTCTAGTAAAGATACTTTCCATTTTAATTGCTCTTCTTTTTTTGCCCTTCTTCCCTTTTTTTTTTTTTTTTTTTTTTTTTTTTAATGCAGAATTACACAACGGCAAGGACCCCAATCCATCATATTCTCTTCCTTCATATATACTTTTTGACTAGCACTTAGCCTTCAACAATTGATATTATGAAAAGATACAATCTAAATTATTAATAATAAAAATATTATGGCCTTTGATTGCAAAAAAAAAGTCTTTCAGATGAAATGGAAATCATATAAAGTCCTAATTTTTTAATATAAAACACAACCACATTTGAGACTAAGAAAAACCATATGAAATTATTTAATAGAGTATGACAAAAGTATTTGGCTTAAAAATCTTAAAAAAACTCAAGATAAACCTTTAAAGACTCTTAAATACCTTAAAACATTTCATAAAGTTAAGATAAGAAATACAAAACTCTGCACAGTTGAAATTTTACAATTTCATTAGGTGGAATAAAATTCCTCCCTCCAAAGTCAGTGTTTCTTATTTTATTCTGAAATCTTGAAAAGAAAACGACCAAAATACATCTCAACTACTTATCCTCCAAAAAAATTGCAATAGCACGAAGGTCTATCCTCCTACATGGCAAAAAAAGTGAAATTGAGAGAGAAAAAAGAAAAGAAAAGAAAAGAAAAGAAATCAACACAGATGACAAAGATTGTAGTTACAATCGACACAACAATTTATAAAAAACACACAAAAAGCAAATATTTGTTTTAACGTAGATACATTCATGCTTGTCAGCATCGAATTTTAAAGAAAAAAAATCTGGACAAGCCATCGATTTTTTAAAATATATATATAAATAAGATTGGAAAATAGCAACTTACTTTACTTTACTTTACTTTATTTTATTTTTTCTGTTGTGAACAAGAGTTGAGTGTAAGAATTCTGTGCAGGTGTGAAGAGATAGGCTCCGCGGCGCCGTGGGGGGAGGGGGGTGTGAACGGAGCCCGACGGGATTCGGCGGGACGTGGAAAGCTGGGCTTGAATTGTGGTGGGAAAATTGGCTGCGCTGCCGGAACGATGCATTTTGGCGGACACAGAAGAAGAAGAGGACGCATCGCATCCTTAATCCATGGATGGCCTCGAGATGCGTCGTCCTCCCATCGATGTTGGAGTGGAGTGGCCTGCAAGGGTGGAATGAATTTCGCACGGCAGACAAAATATATTTAGTTGCGAAGGCTTGCAGCAGCCATGCCGCAACATAACACCTTTCATTCGTCGAGGACTTGTCCTCCTCATTATTGCATTGGTTTTTGTAAATGGCTTTGCTGGATAAACTATTCCAAATATCTAACCACAATCGCTGGCTGAAACTCCACTTGCGGCGGCATTCACCATTCGTGCTGTCTGTTTCCTAAAGAGCCGCGTTGGAGGCCGTGAATGCCTCGTCTAGCATCGAGCTGGCACGAAAGCATTTGATGCTGTCCGTACCTTGTGCCGTAAGTTGCCGCAGGAAAGCCCTGACGCCATATCTATTGTGTGACATTCCCGGATGTTTTTTTACTAATTGTTTTGGTTGGTACAGACTGCTGAGATGTAGGATGTAATCCGAGCACGCACTGTCGTACGATGTAGGAGGATCATGAAAAAGAGATTCGAGAAGTACGTGCACTCGTGGACTCAGTCTGGAGACGGTCATTGTCAACTTTGCTGTTTGTTACAATATTGTTGCGCAACTTCGTAGTTTTTGCGTGCTGCGACCTATATAAGCAGTGATGATTTTGATTGGAATCAGCCATCGTTCAAGCTCTTGGAGCTTGCTGCACACTCTTGAGGTTTGATCCAAGTTTGAGGGAAGCAATACTCGGGAGCGTGACGCTGTTCGGTTAGAAAGGCACAGATCTTGTTGCAGAAGTTCTTGGAAAGGAGTAAATGTCGACAGAGCAGACCTGTGTAATGACGATCTCGTCGTCGAGCGTAACTAGTACTAGCGTTTGATTTCAGAGCACAAATGCTTTGGAAGCATTGAGCCCCTGAACGTGTTGCCGCATGTGTACGACTGCTGAAGTAATGATTCGAATTGGGCTGACTTTGTCTCGAATTCGCTGAGAAGCTTCGTAGTCGGTTTCTTCGAGATTTGGAAGGCTTTTTCGGAGGTTTTCTGCATGGAAGGTGCTGGATTGCAATAAGCATTCAACTCAAGTCTATCATCTCCTGCCACTAAGATGCATGATTTTCTATCTTCACTAAGCTGCTTTTGCTCTGCGAGCATCGAATCCTCTTTCGACAGCCTCTACGGTAAGCAAAATGCAGATTAGAGACACAGACATTTCGGAAATTGAAAGTTCAATTAGAACAACAGCTAGCGCATTTATTTAATGGTATGCTTGTGGCCAACTATACCTCAACCGGCGAACTGAAAAATTTGAAGAAGTTTACAATATAGATTAGGACTCTAATTTATATTCCAATCTTCTAAAAATTGGAACCTTCTCTTTTAGATTGGTGTTTTTCTGTCCATTGCGCATCCTCCACTCTCTTTCTGGGGAAGCCACACAGCCTTAAGATTTTCGTGTCCATCACGGCGCCGCTTGCCTCCAAGTCGGAAATTGCTATCAATACTTCGCAAAATAGCTCTTGTAATACCACATCATACGTGGTAGCAAATTCAAATTTCATACTTCCACCTTCAAAGTGAAGAAGGCAATTTAATGTCAGATTAATATTGTACCTGTGCCTAGAATCCAGATTTAAAGGTGTTTTTTTTTTTGAAATCATGCATGTGTGAATTCCAATTTCAAGCATTTCCTTTATTGGAATCAAATCAGTCAATCCTTGTATGCATAGTTTACTGTGTTCAGACTAGTTATTGAATATGGCAGGGTTGTGAGAGATCATGGCATGAGACAGAGAAGAAGCAAACGTATGCAAGTCGTCAAGTTTCTTACAACTGAGATTCTCCTCTAAACGAAGGACATTGATCATACTCTTCTGCACGCGATGTTTCTGCTACGGTTTATTGACCTTTAACGAGGAACCTTAACTCTCAATTGCGCAGGGTCTCAGCAATTGTTGTGTCGAGCGAGGCTGTTCTTGTATTCTTTGTTCCTCCTCGAAACCTACTTGATGGGGCTTGTATGGACCCTGATGTTGCATGATTGTGGCTATTGTTGGCAGACACCGATACACATTTGGAAGTAAGTATGCACACACACACTAGTCGGTGTTTAGCCAGGTTGTTAAATTGGCAAGTAAACAAGCTGCCTAGCATGCTTCATTGTGATTGCTCTTAATCCATGGTCAATAGCATGTCGGTGCCTGCACTATCTGTAAGCTTCGCAATATGTTGCGAACATAGCGACCGTTATTATTCTAACCAAAATTGTTGGAATTATTTCAGGTCTGCGGAGGTTTTCGACTGAGAGCTGAAGCTCATCGGCAACTCGAGAACGGAAAATTCTCTCAAATACAGTGACAGTCTAGTGCTCTTAACAGATCTCAAGATCGACTTTCATTTTCCGTGGAATAGGTTATACTCTTGTACATGTACTCATGGCTTTGCACCTGAATTCAAGTCAAGGTTGGAACGAAATCAGGAGAGGGAAGAGCCACACCTTAAGTCCTCATCCTTTTGCATCGAGGATGGGCAATGAGAGTTCTACGATTGAGAGCTTTTCTACCGAGTTCAGACGCGACAGGTCCAATGTCAGGCCATACGTGCGGTCAAGCGCACAGAAGTTGAAATGGACGCAGGAGCTTCACGAATGTTTTATGTGTGCTGTCTTTCAACTGGGCGGTCAAGATAGTAAGTAATTCTGCGCTTGGTTAGGAGTGGAGAAAGTGCGGGGGCACAATTCATTTTGATAGCATGCTTGTTGTAAGAGCACTCGTCTACAACAATGATTCGCTAGCACCAGAACTTGCATTGTAATTATCCTCTCTTCGGCAGGTATTTACCTGGAGCCTGTGTCATACTTGTGATACAGAAGCCACGCCGAAGAAGATACAACAACACATGAATAAGGAAGGGATTACCATCGCACACATCAAAAGTCATCTTCAGGTCTGTGCGCAATGTCATGCCAAGGAACCGTTTGTGCTGATGGAGCATTATCTATTCAAGTATTAGTATGCTTTTCACAAGGAAAAGCTGTGTATCCCGATTCTGATTCCTTCTGCTTGTTATTGTAGATGTATCGAAGTGGGAGGATCAATACAGATGGGATGCCAAAATCTGGTGAGTTTTAATGATCTGATTGTGATCATTTTTCGTGGAGATAGCACTTGTATTATTTGGAATTATTTAAGACCACGGGTAATTAGATGTGGTGTTTGACGCAGATGTTGAAGTTCCTACTATATTTTTATTTTTGCAGATTTTAAATCATGGCAAGGAGGACGATGGCTAGTTAACAGTGGTGAGAAGCAGGATCGTCTCGCAATTGGCCAGGATCCCACACATTCCGCATCAAAGCTTGAAGAGTTATCACGAAATTTGGAGTTAGAACCAGCTGCAGCGCTCATCCAACTAAAGACAGGACGCAATTCGGAGTTGTTGAGGGGAACCCTTGGTAATCACGGTTTCCAGGGGCATATGGGGGAGAAATCTGGAGGAAGAATGCAGCTGGACTACGTTACTATGTCAGGCATAAACGAGAAAACCCCACAATTCAGAGAGAACGGTGAGCAAGAATCTTTTGAGCACACTCTCGATGAAACCCCTAATTATCGGGTCCCTCCATCCTTGAAACCATTCATCAGTGACAATTCTGAGGACAGCACCAATTCCCTGAGCACCAGAAAAAGGAAAGCCAAGGGCATCGAGTTCAATCTCACAATGCCCAACAGGTCACTGCGTCCAAGCTTCAGTTTACCCTGCCCTTCTACTGTAGTGGAACCTTCACTACGTCTTGCTCTTTCATCCATGATGTAACATGTGAATTTATGTTATTCCTTTGTTTAACTTCTACAGGTTAGGAAAGGTGTACCTTGGCTCTCATCTTTAGAGCCCTCGACGTATTAAAGGTGAGATGAGGGAAAGTTGGGATTGCAAAAATCTCTAGAAAGGGAAACGGATTTGTTTATATCTATGTCAAAAGTGTAGATAATTAACAGGAATACACGACCTCTAAGTCTTTGTTGCTGAGTTGACAAAACAATGTTCACATGTTAAATATTTGAATATTGAATATAAATACTTTATTGTCAATTATTTCTACCTCGCAAATTTGTGACATCTTCCGCGTCTGTCTACTTTAGTACTTATAGTGCACTTATGATCACTCTAACAGTCAATTTCCTAATCTTTACATGTCCAAACAATGTCTAAATCACAATGAATTGCAAGATCTTGAGTAATTTCACTAGCAGATCGCACCACAGACACACCATTATATGCACAACAGTAGCCTGAATGAACGCAACTAAAGAAAGAATTGAAAATGTTTTACAACAGCGAGTTAGAAAAAAACTATAGTACAAGTACTCGAACTAAAGTAAACAGAAACCAGTTACAGCATCCATCCTTATAGAAGGATGTATTCTGATATTGCATTGTGCTGAGTATAAGTTCTCACAATACTCTACATACAAATGTTGAATGTCTGGAAATGTAACAGGAATAGAAACTGGCTGAGTATGATACAGAAGATTACAGTTATGAAACACCTTTACTAAGATTTCGCCATTTGTCCTTCAGGTCACCATAAGTACGGCTAGGATCAAACCTACCCTTCCCAAACTGCAGAATTCGTTTCCAATGGAAACCCCACTCTCCATTATTTGAAATTCGTCGTACACCCTCCTACAGAATCCAGTTCCACAGTTAGTTTGGTATCACAACAATTCTAATTAGAAAAGTAGTGTTCACGTAAAACCTTCTAGACCATAGCAAAAGGCACACAAAGCTGATCCTGTCAAAATTGGATACTTGACAGTTGCAAGTGCATCTACCTAAATACATCTTGGCTCACCATTAAGAACAGGAAACAATTACCTACCATGAGGGCGTCCTCTTCCTCTCTCGTCCAAGGTAAGGGCCTCCTGCGGAAACCTGGTAATTTCCGACGACCACTGCAAAGACGCGTTTGCAATTAGTTGGATCCTACAAGCTTTGCATACCCAACATGATTTCACCATGTTCATGAAGGTACTCTCACGGACATCATTGCTCTTACACTCTTAAACTGGCGTAATGGAAAAATGGTGAGAGAAACGTAATAAGGCATTTGAGCAGAGAACTATAAAAAATGCGGCAAATTTGCCACACCTCGGATCCATCAAGCTGCAGAACCTTGCTTCATATTATCGTTAGAACAACTAAATATCAGAGACAACTTCGCATCTGTACCTGAGGAATCTGTCCCAATCCAAATTTTGTAACTTCTCACCCCCGTCTTCATCCAGGTCTCCATCATGTTTATCACCTCCAACCTTTCTGGAGTCACCAGCTCCACTTCCTAATTCCTGGACTCCAGCTTCCTGTACCACACGCTCCTCGCCACTGTCATCTTTAGGTCCGCTACTCTTCGAGGGGCGTGCGGAAATTTCCTTCTCCTTCGTTTTCTGTCCACTTGTGCTCTCCGCAAGCAGCCGTCTCCTTGAAATATTTTGATCAGGGGTATTCGGTGCCCTCTCAGTTTTCTTCGCGTCTTCGTTAAAAAGCAGACATTTTACAGACGACTCCCAGACACTTCCAGCTCCGTTCTTCCTCAACGATTTTGACTTCTTCTGCCTGATATTTTCATTTCCTGTCCTCTCCTGCTCGATATTTTCACTTTGTGTCTTCTTCTGCCTAAGCTGATGCAATGCATCGCCTTCAGAAGAACTTTGTTTCTTTATGCTTTCTTTCATGAAGGTTTTCAGCTTCTCCTTGGCTGCAGCTGCTACCTGTACAGTTTTAATGCATCAGTCTCCTTATAAACATTACTTATTAACACAAATCTAGGCAGCACCCAACATTAATTACACAAACCCCAATTTCCCAGTTATCTAATCTCAGAGAAAATATATTCAACACTGGTCATTTAAAACCAAGTAAAGAAATGAAAGAAAAAAAAGTAAAAAAAAGGTACCATACGCAAAATAGATTCACAAATACGTGTCCTTTCCCACATAATCAAACATATGACGATGAAATCAGACTATGGTCATCACATAACCACGTGTGCAGTATACTAGCAAGGTAAAATCTGATAAGAGCAGAATACATTGTTCAAAAAGATGGTTATAGCAGGAGAGCATACTCACCTTATTGGCCTCTGCTGCCACTTGAGCTGCCTTAGTGAAAACGCAAATAGGACAATACCACTCCTCCTCGTCCTTGGGCAATCTTAGATCAAGAACCTCAGTACACGTAAAGTGCATAGAGATGGGGCATCTATCACAACAAACTAGTTTCCCATGCAAGCCACACATGTGGCATACGTCTTCATGACCATCATCACCAACGTCGAGAAATTCGAACTTGTAGATGTCTTGAGCATCCAAAGGTATGAATTCATTCTTTATCAAGAACTTTTCAATATCCCTCTGTTGAGCTATTTTATCTTCAGATGGTAAAACCGGGGCTTTTTTTCTTCTATCCACCGATATACTCCTTTGACTTGGTGAACCTAAGGTTTTCTTCTTTACGACCCCAGTTGCCACAATCTTTTGAGAATCTCCCTGGTCTGATCCACTCTGAAAGTTTACACAGCTCGTTACATCACAATTCAAGCGAAAAGAGATGTACAGATTAAAAGAAAAATAGCAAGATGGTGACATTCTCAAGGTTATCATAGGATTAGTAAAGCACCTCTGAATGAGATGAAGACTCAGCCATTTCCTTGAGGTGATCGTCACCGTTACTTCTTTTAATGAGGTTTCCTTCCTCACCATCGGTGCTTAACCCCTTCATTACCTGGCAGTGTGGAAACAAAGGTAGCTCTTTTAGGTCTTGACAACTCCAGGCATTGAAAGCAAGAACAGCTAAGACGCAGTATCCTAACTTCACATTTTCCCTTTGCGTTTATAATGCTGCGAAACGACCTATCCGTGTATACAGGTTGGCAAATTAACTGAAATAAAATGAGGATGAATTACATGATCACAGTGGGGAGTACGACAATATACCAACCAGAGAGGTAGAAGGTACCTGTGTCTCAGCATCAGATTCGACATCTGCGACTGAAAGACATTTATTTGTACGGCCTGGCTCCCCTACATACGCTTCTGACTTTTCCATGCTAGCACTTACATGTGGTGTGCAGCATCTCATTGATTTTAATCCAAAATTCCCAGATGCACTCATACCCTCCTTGCCTCTTTTCAATGATGAACGCTGCTCTAACGATTCGGCTCTATGCTTTGCAGGGGAGTTATCTTTCAGAGAAATAGATTTTGATAACGCCAATTCAGAAACATCCTGATGGAGAACAGTCTCGGAATGAACAGGGGACGTTGATATCATTCTTCTTGGTTTTTTAATCCGTGGATTGTGCTCTTGCATTTCTTCGGGTTCATCGTCACCAATATCATGATTAGCAGATAGCACCTTCCGCCTCAGCCTTTTCCTACCACGGCGACCATGCACAATATTTTCATCTCCAGTTTTATCAAATTCAAGCCCATTTCCAGCTTCATGTTCCACATTTTGAGGGTTCATATTCGCATTTGTGAGTGCGCCCGTCAATATTGGTAAGCTCTCGAGGTTGACGGTGTCCACATGCGCTTGATTAGCATGTGTGTCCACCTTTCTAAACTTCTTCACGTCACCGAGCTCCTCAGGAAATGGAGTCCCGTTGGAACTAAGAAAGTCACGCAACAACTGCGAATACACAAACAATGTAGCATCAAGACTTTTAGTTCCTTTGTAAACTAATAACGAAGTGATACTCTGTAAGGTCAAAATGGGAACACACGATACGGGTATTTTTGACGAAACACTCAAGGAAACAAACGATCTATAATACACTCAAAAGACGATTAGCACAAGAGGCACAAAAAATGAAACACGTCAGTACATGAGATTTCCATCAGGAAAATGATCAATAAATAAATAAATAAATAAATAAATCATAAAGGAGAGATCAAAAGAGAGACTGAGAAAAGATTCAACCCAAAGAATTAAAACAAATCAGCATCAAATCAGAGGATCTTCCACATAAAAGCAGTAAGATATCCTACCTGGTCTAAGAACATTGGCTTGAATGATTTTTTCTTCTCATCAATGAACGTGTACAAGTCATCCTTTAATTTTTTGAGACAATACTTGTTGAAATAAGCTGCAACAACAGCTTCCGTTTGGTTCTTTGGCTGAAACCCATCCCAGAGAGTTAGATAACGTGAACATCACAAGATAGGATACTCATACAAGCACTCCAGCCAAACTTTAAAGCAAAGAAAGAGATCTTTGACCATACTGAAACCATAATATTTAGAAGAAACAAGAGGAACAGTTCGTGTACAGAAATCTTACCACCCACCTTAAGTAGTGCACTAAGCTCTCTTTTACGATCTAAGACACCATTGTCTGCTTCTTCTGTAAAAACTCTTTCCAGTTCCGATGCGAAAGATGACCAATCTCTCTCCCCCTTGTTCACATCTTCTCTTAATACAGAAAGAACTACCTGGACAATATTTAACGCATCAACCACGGTAATACGCTAATCGTCAGTCTTGTAACTAAAGTAACATAGCCAGCATGTACGCTTCACATGATTATTTGAAACATGTGACAGTTTCTCTCACAATACCCCCGCTACCACACTTTTCTCACAAGGCCACAGTCTAGAAGATCCTTTAAACATCTAGGTACAAGAGAAGTTGTTCACCTCGGTTTGAACACGAAGAACCAATTCTTTGTTGAACCGTTGCTTGACAGAGGAACCTTTTGTAACTGAACTGATGTCTTGCCCAATGAGTGCCTTGAGGAGAGGAATAACATCGGAGTCGATTTGATTCGAAACAACCAGCTCCTCAAGGTTCCGTAAAGCTACTCTCTCCAGAAAAGGCCAACAATGCGCCTCCTCTGTGTCTTTCACATGAGTGGTAATCAGCTCTGAATTCACAAGAATTCAAGTAAATGACCACAACAACGAGAAAAAAAATGAAACACCTACGAGTCCACAATTCGATTGAATCACTACTGCTCTGTGAAAGAAGTAGAAAATATTGTCCACGTGCTTTGACTACGATCGCAAATGAAAACATCGTCAAACACAGTGGTCCCGCTAAAATAATCCATACGAAGAAACAGATAGCCGACTTAGATGAAGACAATTTTGCGACTCGCAACAACAATTTTGCGACTCGCTTGTAGGTGATTTCCGACTCTCCTCATACCTAATCAGTACTATCAGTTGAAATTCAAAACCTCAATTGAACAACAGTGATAAAAAAATCAATCCAAAACTACTCCGCAACAGAAAGAAAACCCCCGGATTCAACAAGATCCGTTCAACTCCAGAAACACGAACCGTTGAGAAACGCCACTCCAAACTCCGGAACGTCCGCAAGCTTCTGCAAAATCCATTTCCACGCAAGCCCGGGCGTCGAGGCCTCTACCTGCGACTGTGTCGAGCTAACACGAGCGTCCATGAAAGCAGGCGATCGGCACCATATATATATATAAAAAAAGAAAAAAAAAGAAAAAAAAGAAAAAAAAGGACACCTACGTAATTCGGTCGCAATCAAACGATTCGCCTCAAAACCATCTCCCAATCGAAACTACCTGCAGACCTAATCTGAATTGCAAACCACCAGACTCTTATTTCCCGCAAACTTCACAATCAAGTCAAACGAGAGTCTTATCGCTTCCAAACAGAAAAACCTCGAGCGGCGTAAAAACCCTAGAAGATCGACACCCTATGTTGCAAAGCCCTCTGAAGCTCATTTCTCCTTCTCATTGAATCCGAGGCGAGGCATCGTTTGAAAAACTGCAAAGATCCGTGCTCCCGCGATTTTCAGCCAGGCAACGATCGACGCAACCACCGAATGTATCGACGAGTTTGAATCGCCGTGATCGAAGGTTTTTGAATCGAATTGCGGTCCTTATATACGCAGTTGCGGAAGATGCGAGAGGATCAGAACATGCCTGGCAAATGCACAACCTCTAAACTTTTTGAACTCTTTATCTTATAAGACCTGAATCTTCTTCAATATTCAAAAAATAAGAAGTAAAATGCAAGAAATTCACTGGCTCACTCTCTGTTCTGCTAAGAATGGTACTTCAGTGTGTTCGATTCGAAATATTAGATGATTTGAGCTTTATGGACATTTAACCTTGACATTTGGTTATGAAATTACATCTATTAATCACATAGCTTTGAACCCCGTTAGGAAAATCATGTTACCCTAAAACTGAGAAATGTTATAATATTATGTGTTATAAACAAATATAATCTAAAATTATTTTAACATATTAAAGTACAAGACATTAAGACTAAGCAAGCACAATTGAAAGTACACCTTGACTATTTAATCTTAAGTTAATGAGGTGCAAGTTTGTTATTAGTTAAAATATGCAACAAATAAAATAAAGGTTTGACAACAAAAGACTTACAATTTATGAGCATGTCAATAAAATTAGTCTATTCCTTTAGGTGTTTATTTAATGAAAAAAATATATATTTTATTAGAAACTTGCCTTGACTCATTATCCTCTAAAACTTTAAAACCCATTATTGTCATTTCTATGACACTTTCAAAATAATCAACAAAACAATAGGTATTACTAATGTCACCATAGTTTTTATCATTGCCACCACAACTTGCCATCCACCACATGCCACCACAATTTCTATTATTGCCACCACAACCCAACATCCATTTAACATTTTTTTATGCTTTTTTTTGTTTTCCAATTAAAATTTTATTGATATTTTCATTACATTTATTTTCTATTTTATTTAATTTTTTTCAACATATGTAGAGAGTAGATTTTGTTTTAGTAGAAAATAATTGAAAAGTTCATAGGAAAAAGTTGGCAAAAACTGTAATGGCATCAACACCCAAAACAATATACCAACTGTGGATAGATTGTGACATTTGATAGTTTAACTCCAAAGTTTTGCACTTTTGCACTTTAGACTATACATAATGTACATAGTGTAAACCCCTGTAAAAGTGTTTTTCTCCATCAACCATATATATATATATGACTAGTTTTTCTACTACACCCGATTTCATTGTTAACTCTTAAACACAAAAGACGATCCGAAACATGAAATTAACAACTTATTTATTGTCTCTCTTACGGAACATTCTTGATCATGCAATTGAAGGATGTCGGTTGGAGGGGTGCTCAAGAATTATATACCCTGTTTCGAAACAAGGGTTTCCTCAAAACAGCTGAGCTAGAGTACGCACCAAAAGCTACATATCTGACCAAAACAGTTTGCTACGACAGGAGAATATGGAGAAAGAGCTCCCAGAAAAGTGCACAAGCTGAATAGTCTCTTCACTCATTCTTCTCTGAAGGAATCTGAAAAATACCGCACTGTCAACGCCGAGCACGTCTCCCTGGTGATCGAGACCTGTGATGAGACCTGGGAGGTGTCACTGCCCTTCCGCGGGGGGGAGAGAAGTGGGTGTCATCCTTGTTGATTGAATTTGTTGCCTTAGTTCGCCGCTGCACATCTTCAACGTGCTTTCGCCACAAGGAATCTCGACCTCGTCGCGGCATTTTATTGTAACGAGGGTCCGATTTCAAGACCTTCTTAGCTTCGTGCCAAGAGTTCAGTGGGGTTCTTCCCTCCTCATTGTGCTTAGCGGCAGCCTCGGGAGTGATCAGATCTGATAGAAGCGACCGGAAGTCCCGTACACAGCGCTGCCACCAACAATTCCCCACAAGAAAACTTGAGAAGGTTGCAGTAAAGACTGTTCAAATACGCGAACAGATAAGTAACATGAGTGATTAACACTCTTTTCAAGAGATGCACTAGTTTATAACAAATCAGAGGGCTAAGCATGTTCTTTGGGAATGATCCTCAAATCCTGAGATGTTGACCTTGGTAGTGCTTCATACCTACAAGTTTGCACACTAGACAATATTAAAAGTGTTAAAATCCGTGCAGGGTTTCGGCTTAGAAGCATACATTATACAATCCATCAATGTGCACCCGGAAGATTCGTTCTCTCTCCGTAGTGTCAATGTCTGGATTAGAAGCACGACCCAAAGCATCCTTCTCCAGCTTTGACCGAGCTTCAGTCCAAGACATCTGCTTCACCCGGGCATCCAAACCAAAAAATCAATCAACAGGAGAACTTGGCATACATAAAAACTATCTGTGCACAACTACGTGATTTATCCAAACAAAACACGTAGAAGTCCCAAAAATAGAGCAGGACCGTCATTACTACAGAAGTTAAACATTCAGGAAAAAGAGTCGCATATAATCTTCACGTGATAACTAGATACAAGCGCCAGAGATGGTAAAAGTAACCAGCGACAGTCTACCTCGGGATCCTTGATCTTCTCGGTCAGGAGGGCTTGATAAGCTGTAGCAGCATCTTTTCGGCGAGCTTTTACACGCACTCTTTCAAGCTCTTGTTCCTCCCGCTCCTTGCGCTTGCGTGCTTCTCGTTCTCTATCTCTCAGTTTATCCTGTTAAAAATCCATCAGGCAAAAAATGAATCACCACTATGGATATTAAAATAACAATTCAACAGAAGACTTAATCTAACAAAAGTGACCTTTGCTTCTGGGCATATATGTACAGAGGACTGCGATCATTTCCAAGTTACAAACCAAATTAGCATCATTAATATTGTCATGAATGTATAAGACCTGGTTGAAAACGTCAAAAAATAGCCTTAAACGATGGGGTTACTGCTTGCCCAACATGTGATGCTGTAGAGGTAAGTATCCCACCAGCAGCATAATGCATGATGCATAGAAGACCGAATCATGCCAAAGGTCATTTTCTACAAAATTCTTTCTTGAAAAGCACAAAGCGAGCTGACCTCTTCTTCCTTCTTCGCTTCAGCTGCTCTCTCCGCTTCCATCTCTACTGCTCTCAGTTCTGCAACCATAGCGTTAAACAGATCTTCTCTTTCGTCCCGCTCTACAAGCTTGTACCGAGGATCAGATCGCAAGTTTTCTTTTACCTGGATCACATTACTCAAAACTCAAGAAAATAAGTCTTCTAAGGATAGATTGTTATGAATTTAAGCCGAAACAAACTCGTCGCAATTCTACCTCAACAGTAAAAATTGCTGCTTCTTGACACTAACAGATGATAGCACCAGTCCTAGCACTGCGCAGGAAACCTTGGACGCAAAAACTGCATCTTCGAAGTTGCAGAATCACAATTGCAAGCTACCGAATCAGAGCAGTTAACAAACTGCTGGACTCAAACAGCACTATGTTAATAGACGATACAAACTTTCACAGCTCAGGATTTTAGACGGAAGCAAAACTCATTCCCTTGAAACATCCTTTACCTTGGACCAGCGACTGGTAGAACTGATTTCACCCTTCTCGGATAAAAGAGATCGAAAGCCAGCTACGGCAGATGCACGTTCAGCTTTGACCCTCTCCTCTTCTGCTTTTCTAAGCGGAGCAACTCTGAAAAACAACATGAATAACTCAATGGCTGTCTATGAACCAGATACATCAAAGGATGCTATGCACAAGGACACCACCAACCTCCTAAACTGAATGAATTACTCAAGTACTCACGGATATAAGCGTAACAAAGACGTGGAGGCCGTAACTTAGAAACTATAGATTTGATTACTTGGAGAAAAGTTTCGACGACGTGAAAATGAAGAAAAGAAAAACAAAACAAACTCGTATCAGAGCCCACATATTGAAACCGAAAAGAAAGGGAAAGAAAAGTCAACAAATTATTACTAGAAACCGTAACAACATACCCCAATTGATAAACAAATTTTGGGAACTCCTCACAACGTTCAGTTTAATAATTAATCCTATGTTCTTCCAGAAATTTACATCCTGGTTAACTTCAATCCGAGCTTGAATCAGAAACATAGTTTTAATTTTCAGTAAACCCAGCTCGCCCAGAAAAGATAGTTTTAATCGAAGCTATCTTTGTGGCATACAAAACGTATGCAAGAAATCAGTTCACCTATACTCCTATAAAGTTACGAATAAGGTTGGTTCGAAACTTGAATGAGAAATGGACGTTATGCGAAAGTCACGTTGAAATATTAGCATCGGAGGAAGGAATAAGCTTGGTTAACCAATACAAATTGAGAACGTAGTCCATCAAATGCAGCTAACTGCTGACAGCCGTATCAGAATAACTTGAGTGTTAAAAATGGAAGGGTGACAGCAGATTGAAGTGGCTCGAATGGTGGACGAAAATCGCAATAAAAGGAGAATGTATACCTGTTGCTAACAAATCTCGGCGACATCGCATACATCGCAAAGTGGGTCAGGGTTCACCTTGAGGGATAGCTTCTTTAACATCCACATAAAAACGTCACATTGAGCCACATATTACGTCAGCCAACCACGCACATAATTCCTGTCCCACCTGCTAAACGTGATTTCTAGGAGGATATATTCATGCGTAAAGCTCTATAATAAAAGGAATCAGTGATGATCGAATATCAGCTCATGCAGAATTACTTGTTTATAAACCTATGAATCAAGGTCAAAACCCACATCGACACGATGTGTAATCTAGAATACTATTAAGAATATCCTGAAGACGTTATGAAATATTCTCACTACCACACGTGAGGGCCACTTCAATCAGGTCAATATCTGACATACAGGATTTGGATGTGCAAATATTGGTTAAAAAATCATGTAAGATGTCACGTGAAGGCTCAGAAAATTAAAATATGCAAATGCAATGACGGAAAAACGATTTCGGGTAATCGCAGGTCAATCACAGAAACTGACTGAAAACCGCATGCAAACAAATAGAGAAAAAACCCCGGTTGGAACCGACACCACAATGATCACCAATACAAAAACAACAAACCTTTCAATCAACAAAGATTCACGATCCTTCCGCTCCAAAGCTTCAAAGCGAGTGTCTTGACCCCATTTCTTCGCAAAACTGTCATAGGTAGTTGTATGCGTGACATCCTGCATAATAAATTGAACTTCATTAGCAAATCGTGAACAATAAAGGTGACTACCAGCTAAGACAGTAGGTTACGTGACATGACACATCAAGCCCAAGATGAAGGCGCTCGTTGATGTCTTTAGAATACAGCGTATGTTACCAAACCGCACCTTGAAGCATAACCCGTTGTATAGGATTCAACGATGATCCAACGAACGCATAAGACTGACAATAAAAAAGCTTTCAACGCTCAAGAACTGCAACTCAGCCCATTAAGACTAGGGTTGTATGAAACATGGATCTTTTGGGGTTGCAACCTACCAGAAGGCTGCAGTAAGCAGACAACTGAGCTTAAACCTGAGAAGCCACATCTCTGCAAATTGCTGAAAAGACCAAAAGTGTATAAGGGCCAAGTCATGGCTGCCACAATTCAGCTGAAGAAACAAGGGATACCACCCATCCATCGCAGACCGTTCCTCCACAAACAAGTGGAAGTTTATCAAACGTATGAGGAATGAGACACCACCATACACATTACAGCTGAAGCAAAGCATTCGTCGACTTCTATATCAATTACTCACATGTAGACATAGAGAAAGAAGATATAGTTAGAAGGAAAACCTTCGCTGCTTCCCCCAGAAGGTCCTTGAACCCTTTTATAGCAGCCTTCTGTGCAGCCCGCTTCTCCTTTCGCTCAACGTCAGCCCTTGTCCGAACGTAATGATCGAAAATGGACCGTCGCTCGGTATGACTAGGAATGGCCTACACAAGAAACCATGTGGTTCAATTACATAGCCATTGTTTATAAATGGCATCAAAGACATTCGCAACTTCGGCTCTGAACACATGAGTCTACATCTGACTTCACGTTGGTAAACTATTTCGAAATTGTACGAATAGTCAATTCTAGATAACTCATATTCACCCTAGATGGAATGAAAAGTATCTTCATATTACCGTCAAGACATCAGCATTCACACGCCAATAAACTGCAGATTACTATAATGATGTTACACTAAATCATTGCAGAGACCTTGAATCGTGGGTCAAAAATGATTCTAGGTAGTTCCTTCTCCCATTTCGAAAACGGGGCCACGTCCTTCTCCTTCAGCATTTCCTGCAATAAAATTCTAGGTATCAGCAATAGATACATCTATTTCAAAAAATCTGCATCCTATACCAATCCAGGCAAGAACCTAATCACTAAGCAGACCTGTCCCATAAAAACACAGTTCCGGTTTAGTCAAGATTGTTAATGTCTAAGCTTACCAAGGACTCAAAAGAGATACTGAAAAAGAAGATACCACCCTTGCGAAGTCATCTCAAGTAACCAACTAGGAACACAATAGGCCCCTCAGTAAATTATCTACAGACCCAGGACACAGCTTAATACACCTGCAGTGTCCAGAAGCTACCAAATCAGATTGAAGCATATGGTAAGAAAGGACTGCGCAACCCGGGAGGCTAAAGTTTGATGCTAATAATTCGACTGCAGACCATTTACGATAAGTGGAGGTTCCATTTTCTCGAGAAACGAAACAAAAGCCTACCTTAAACTCATGAACCTTCTGCTCTTTGGTTGGCTCTAGGTCCTCTTCCTCACTTTCAGATGATTCATCTGAGGAAGCATTATCGCCTTTCGAGGCCTTGTCTTTCACAACATCAACCACCATCCCCTTTCCAACACTAGCATCAACTGGAGCTACGCCGTTCACAGCATTCCCTGCTCCTGGAGCGATCGCAGTCGTTGGTGAAACCGTCATTTGAGCACCCGAATCTTGCAGTTTTTTCTTAATGAGGTCTAAGGCAGAGTTGGCAGCAGCTTTGTGCCCCATTGCTTCTCGACCGCCAGTTATTGCTGCTGGCACATTGAGTGTAAATGATACAGGACTCTTATCAGCCGTAGAAATCCCAGTAGGAACACTCTCAATACGAGGTTTTCTGGAAACCTCTTCTTTTTTCTTACGAAGTTCTGCAACCTCGAGAGGTACTTCCCAACAGCTTGCCTGAGAATTGCATTCAATTGCACCCGGCAACAAAAATCAGAACTTATTCTGGACCTAAGTTGCTTCATACGAAGGATTCAATCATTTCGTTATCATGAACAATGCAAACTCCCCGTTTTACCAACAGGCCATCTTTCGACTAGCATGAAACTGGTGAAACAAAGCATCTTTGCCAAAGTTAATCTCAACGAAGTACAAAACTGCGTCGTAGACAATGTGCTTATGCCTTACTTACCTGTGACTTCGTGTTGTAGTAATACTTTTTGCCATCGTCAGTTGTCACAAGCGCCCAATCCGTGGAATCCAGACGCTCCCTGTGTCACATCAAAGCAGCGCATCAGCCCCATGATCCCAACATTTTTAGACTATGATTACAATGCATTCTGTACATCAAACCATTCAAGAAGCTACTAGAAAAAAATCTTGAATTCCATTACATCTGCACCTAAAAATGTAGCAGGGTGCTATTGGGACATTCTCCTAATTTTATGGCCCTACAAATAACTTGAACAGTAGCCTGGAATAACAAAAATTCTGTGAGAGGGTGCAACAAAACAATATTACTGCAGAGACATATCTAAGGCGAACCAACCAGCAAGGGCACTCAGTACCAGATATTCAGAGAAATGTAGGCATCAGCATAACTCTCCGGTGCAAAATGCAGATAACAGCCTGGAAATCCTCACTCACCAAGAGACAGGCGTGGGCTGAGTTGTCACCTTAGCTGGCTGCATATTTCAAACAACACATATCAACTCCAACGCTATAAACAATAGGAAAGAAAGGAAGTAGACAATGATAAGCCGACGCACTACCACCAGATGTGAAAACATCCTGAACGGGTGACTGAATGTGACTCAATATAGGTAGACTTTAAAAATTAGAAATTAAAAGACACATACATAAATAATAATAATAATAATAATAGTCATAACAACAACAACAACAACAATAAGAAGAAGAAGAAGAACTACATAAAGGTCTGCCATGTTACCTCCCCTTTAAACCCCTCAGGTCGTGTGTAAGTAGACTGAGCAGTGACAGAATTATAATAATAAACAGCTCCGTTATCCGTCTTGTGAGCGGTCCACACATCTGCAGGATCAGCAGACACATGGCTTGGACCTTTACTGGTAGTGGAACCCGACAACATTGACTGTTTATCTGGAAGAGCTGCGGAAGCTCCAGTAATCCCACTTGGGGCCCTGTTCATCTCATCAGTGATCGTCATTACAGGAGACCTTGCAACTGGTGCCCCAGGAGTCAATTGTGACCACATCACAGGACGCTGGGTACCTTGACCAGGCATTACAAAACCTGGTGTAAAACCTGACGCAGGTCCTACTAGCATCCCACTGGAAGGTGGTCCCATAGGACGCATCTGTCCCTGGAAAGGCCCTGCATAATTTCCTGAATAATGCATGTAAGGAGGACGCTGAAAATGTTGTGCTGGCTGCATCCATGGAGGTCCTGGTTGTTGCAAAGACCCCATCCCAACATTAGATGGGTGTCGTTGATAAGAGGGTGGTTGAGGAGATCCTAAATTATTTGATACAGCCTGGGATAAACCAGAAGACACTGGAGCTGGTGGCGTCATCCCCGGCCTTGCACCTTCGTTTGAGATAGGCCTAGCCAGGTGAGTACTTGACGGCATCCCGTGACTTGGTTGCGACTGAGGGGGAGGGACACTATATTGAGCACCTGGTGCCGTGACGAGGGGTAACATCTGAACGATAAACACAACGTGAAAGATAAATACAAATAGACCGATAGTTGACCCATAACACAAGGAAGCACTGGGTGTTAAAACCAAATTCACATCCTAAGAGATCCGCAAATACTATCAAAGCAGCTTCTAAAATAGAAGACCCATAGACATTTTCGCCAACTTTAAAATCTTCAACAAATCCATCGAACAACCGGAAAACAAAAATATTATGGAAGACATGAGCAACTTACAGGTCGAACGGCAGAGTTAATAGCACTAGGGTTTATATTAGTAGCATTTTGTTGTGCAGCGAAATGAGTGGGAGGCCCGAAAGGAGAGCCTTGGGGTGACTCTTGCTGCTGACTTCCAGCTGCATTAGAAACTCCCCAGTGTCCTTGTGTGGCAGCCATAGGTGCAGATGCGGTCTGCATTGCAAGTGGCTGTCACACCGAGGAAGTCATATCATCCCCTGCAAATTTCAAACCCTTTATTGAGTCAATCGAAACCGACAGGACCATCGATAACTGTAGTATTTGTCACGGCAACACATACACACAGAACAGAACCCGACGACAGCCGAATACTACATTACACGAGCGACCAGCGACACTACTCACAAAACAAACTAAAAAATACAGTGTAATTACACCAAAATTTGTACTCCAGCATGAGGAATTCTTTGGTCACATGGTTTCTCGCTTTTATAGGCTTACTCACTCGCCCTACCTACACTCTCAAATTATTAAAATATCCTAATTCCGAAATTCGGAATAGTCGCTAAAAATGAGAACTCATAACGAGGATCAACAAGGAATAGAGACCGTCGGAACCAAGCTTCACGGGTACTCCAATTATTAAAGATTCTTCGCAGTCGTTATCAAGAAAGGGTTAAAGATGAAGCCCAAAAAACCTAATTCCAAAGTGTGACGAATGCACTGGAATACATGACTCTAATACAACTACAAACGCCTCCACCTCACTCGATCAAACAATGCTTTATCCATACACGCACTATCATTATTCATTCATTGCATCTCCAAGCAGCTCTGTTATGCAAGGCCACTATTCCACACAACACAAGTGGAAAAGAGAGAGAACCCATAAATGAAACCCTAATTGAACAGTCGTTCCAAAAGCAAACACTGACCTAGCCCGTCATACTGGCTCTCTCGCTCATGCTATGCGGAGACTCTCAGATTCTCAACCTGTTCCAACAATCGCTCGCCCAAAAGCAATGGCCTAGACAACAACATCCATCTCCGACTCCAGCGAAGAAACAACCAACTTTGTCGACAGAACAGGAAACAGAGCAAGAAAAAAAATTAAAATTAAAAATAAGCGTGCGAGACGGGAAGCGGCGGGTAATGCAAAAAACCCGCCTGGATTGACGAGGCCGAGGGAATGATCGGCAAAGGACGTGATGCAGCTGCTGCGTGTGGTCGCACACCGGTCTGGTTCAAATACGTGCTCTTTACTGGGTGTCTCCGTTACTGCTCCGGCGATGCACTGAGGAGCCGGAGCCAGTCTAACTGGTTATCTGTGTGAAGTGCACAGCCGCCGTATGGACGTCTGCTTGTTGTTGTTGTTGTTGTGTATCAGGGCATGACACACACGTTGAGGCTCTGCGCCTTTAAACAGTCAAAGCAAGACCTGGCATTCTTGCACCCCCAAGAAAAAGAAATTTGTACTCTTGCTTGTAATATGTGTTAGTGTAACCCACCTTCCGTTACCACAAAGATGTCAATGTAGTGGCTTAAATTGGAATGTATTGGACCATGGTTCAAAGAGAAATAAATAATATAAATATAGATATGTGTGTGTGTAATATCTTTGACTATAAATGTTTAATTTTATTTTGATTCATTTGTGTGACATTTCAATTTTTAAGAATTTGGTAGTTGTAGTAAAAATGTAAAAAATTGTTTCAAAATTTAATTACTTTGATGTATGAGTTTCTTTTTAAATATTGTTTTCAAAGTTTAAATGAAGATTTAAATGTATTCAACATTGTTGAAAAACTTCATTATTTATTTATTTATTTATTTTACCTTCATAATATTATTATAATTTCTTGTATTTTTGCAATAAATATGAAAAGATAAAAAAAACATATCATTGTAGTGGAGAGAGAATTTGCATTAAGAAAGCTTAAGGCTTTTGGCTATTACTAGTTGCTCTATTTTCTTATAAAAACTTTCAAAGATATATACATTATTCAATAAAATCCAAATTCTTCATAAATACCCTAGTTCTTTAGATTGTCTAGTAATCCATGTATTTAATGTTTGTAAAACTAGCACAAGAGGAAATAACCTTCTTCAAGAGATCTTATATCCTTTTCTAAAGAAGGGTGCTATCTTTTTCAAAATCCTAAACTCTACTTTATTCCTAAATCCTAAAACTTAAATCTTAGTCCAAACTTCAAATCCTAACTAAAATCCTAAATCCTAAATTTTATTTTATTTGAAGTTAATTTATTTTAAAAGAATAATAATTGGATTGAAGATTTCAAAGAATTGATGCCATCACACTTTAGTCACTATTAACTTATGGCTTTTTTTTGTTTTTAGGGGTAGTGATATAGCAATCTATCAGGAAGAAAAACATATAAAAGGCATAGGCATCACATATCATGCTACTATTAAAAGAGACTCCTTGCTCCTGTCTATAGATGATAAGTATCTTTATTATCCAATATAATTCCTTAATATAAGCATTGCAGAGTCAACCTTCTAAATATTCTCAATAAATAAAGAAGATTTTTAGAAAATATTCTTCTTTACTATCTCATATTCTACCATGGAATTTTGATCCTAAGACCTCCTAGGTGCCATCCAAATATGTTATCATCCATCCATCTCCACAAGCCGTTAACCACCATTTGATGTTCAAAGCTTCAATTCTTCTTTCTATACCTTATTTTTTGATCTCGTGTTTTTTTCAAATCTCTATTTTTTATAAATTATAATTTTTATTTCTACAAAAAAAATTACATCTATTTATAGATATATTAAAAATATATCCATCAAATTTTATATTAAATAGATTCTTTAATAATTAATTATCCTAAATCTTATTTTCTTTCTATAATTTTTTTTTAATAAACCATGATATTTTTTATTAATAGGATTCTTATATCTATTTTTATATATTCTAAATATACTATCATTAATCTTTATTTTAATCTAAAATTTAAATCTCTAAATTTTAAGAGCTATATGATAATATTAAATAATAGATTATTATAATATAATATATAAGTTATAATATATATATATATATATATTATATATTATATAATATATAAGTTATAATATATATATATATATATTATATATTATATAATATATAAGTTATAATATATATATATTATATATTATATATTATATAACTTATATAATATATAAGTTATATATTATATATTATATAAGTTTTTTATAGAAGTTAGAGATTGGATTTTAGAGATTTAAATTTTAGAGATTTAAATTTTAGAGATTTAAATTTTAGAGATTTAAATTTTAGAGATTTAAATTTTAGAGATCTTAAATATTATCATATAGATCTTAAATATTATCATATAGCTCTTGAAAAATATTGTCATATAGCTCTTAAATCTTATTTTCTTTCTTAAATTTTTTTATAATTTCTACTATCATAAACTAAAATCCAATCTCTAACTTCTATAGGTTTAGGTCTTAATCAATGAGTCTTATCAAACTTTTCTTTATTTTCAATTAAGTTACTTTTAACCTCTCTATTGTTACTTCCAAATCTTTTGGTAATCTCACTAATTATTGAATTCAAAATTCTATTAGGATTTTTCTATTGATTTTCTCTTTCTACAATAAAAAAATCCATGTAAGATAAGATTTCTTTGTTAACATCATTGGTTTTTGCTCTAACATCAACTCAATGAGAATGTAACCAATCACTATACTATAAGTAGTCCTATCTATTTATAAAAAAAATAGAAGCAATTTTGGCTATTGCATTAGATTACTCTTATAAAATTTCATTAATTATTAAAGATAAAAATGCAAAGATAAGAACTTAAAGAAAATACATAAATAAGTAAAAAATGAAGGAAAGAGAGATGACAAACTAAAAATAATAAAATAAATATATTTAATAAAAAATAAGAATGGCTATTGCCAAAAGATAGAAAATTAGACTCTTAAAAATAAATTGGAAGAAAAAAAAGGAATTAACAAGAGTGAAGAAGGTTTTATTTTTATTTCTCTATATACTATCTATTTAAGAGCTATATGATAATATTTTTCAAGATCTTCAATATGTGTTCAATTTATAAGACACATGTCTTAACTTACAAGGTAAGTTTCATATATGTGCACTACATTGATAGCTTGTATTAAAAGCTACTTATACAAATGACATGTAGCTAATTTAGTTACTAAGTTTCTAACTTGTCAATCACCTACAAAGATGTATAAGTATGAAATTATATTCATATAGCTTCTATGAACCTTCTCCATAAGATATTATCAAATTAATCTATTTTTATCTACTTTTATTTATTCATATTATTTGAATAAGTATAGATGTTTTTGTAATAATATTTCTTTTCTAAGAATAAGTTCCATGAAGAATAGTGATCACATATTGAAGAAGTCCAAGATGCAACACATTATATTTGCTACATACTCTAATTTTTGTTTCCTTTGAAGTTAGTTGATAAGTCTTTTTAGCTACCAAAAATATCTCATTCTAAAATAAAAAGACCACCTTGTTGTTTCATCATTATTAGAGCCTTAGTAACTTCTTTTAAATAAAATATTTGTAATATCATCAAGAGTCGTTTCTACCTCCCATAAAATTATCATGCACTAAGAGTCATTCCTACCTTCAATAAAATTACCAAGTATTAAGAGTTTCTTTTAAGGTTGTGATATCAAATACGTATCTTGCCATGTTTTCAAAGAAAAACATGTTGTTTTTAAAGGCCTTTATTTCAATTAAGTTTTCTTGAAGGTTGTGACAATCACAATATCTTGTTTAATAAGTCACCAAATGATGGCTCTTAAATTGAATCAACTAATTGTTGATTCTTCATCTGTTAAGTATTATAAATATACAAAAATTACGAACAAAAATAAAAAATTGAGTACAATCTTTTTTAAACTACAATTCTTTTATAGCAAAGATTTGCTTTCCTTCATCTTGATTTTGATGGATGTAATTAATAAAAAGTATCAACTTTCTTTATTGCATTTGTAAGGTTTTTTGCTAGCTTCTAACTACGTTCAATAATATCATATCTATTCAAATGAATAAGTTATTTTAACCTATTTTAGCATCGCCTTAAGTCTATGACTTCTTTGACTTCAAATTCTTTATTAATGTCGAATTTTGTAGGAAGAGGTGGCACTTGTCATCTTTGAGATATATCAATTGTCTTATATGGCTTACAAAGAGATACATAGAATATTAGATGGATTTTCATTGACTTTGATAAATATACTCAATAAGTGACTAAATTGATTTGTTCAAAATTAAGAAAAGGTCCAAGCCTACTATAATCTAACTTATTACAAAGATGAATAGTCTTGATGTTGGGACAAAGTAACCAAATCTAATCATCCATATTGAATTGTAATTGTTCCTTGCAATAGGTATCCATGTTGTTCTTTTGTCATTTTTAAGTTTCTTTTAATGACTCCTTTATGGTTGCATATAGATTTATAAAACAATTTGTCAAATCTTTGACCGCAAGAATATTAACTTTTGAAAAGTCAAAAGTATCAAGTTATGGATGTTAACTATAATTGATTTTTTTTTTTATTAAGTGGAAGAATGTATCAAATTATTATATACAATTTTTAGTAATGACAAAAGAGTTGTCCAATTATCTTGATGATAGTAGATGATATACTTCAAATATTACTTTAGAATTTAATTTATCTATTTTATTTATCCATGAGTTTGAAGATAAAAGGCCAAAGATAATTTTATATCCATCTTTAAAATCTTAATGTAAATTACATCCTTCTATTTGATATGATATCTTTTGATAATCTATGATAGTAATAGATATTATTAAGAAAAAGCTTAGCTATTTTTTCACTTAAAATAGATTTTATATATAATACAAAATATATTATTTTGGTGAAACAATGTACTATCAGAAATATAGAATTATATGAATTTGAATTTAAAAGATCTATAATGAAATCCATAAAAACAAAAAATCATGATTATTCTTGTATAGATAATGGTTGGAAAAGTCTATAAGGTCAATGATAAGTAGTTTTTGATCTTAAACAAATATTGTATAACTATACAAAGTCTTTTATAGCCTTCTACATTTGTGGCCACCAAAATTTTCTTGATATTAACTCCAAAGTCTTGTTGTATC